AGAAAGACATAATATAAAGAGGGTACAGTAATAAATATTATATTTGTGTGTCAGGATTGAGACGAATTAGAAAGAAACAAAGGAGATTTAATGGGAAAAGTAGAAAACGAGGTAATTCCCCTTAATTAGTAATTGTGTACCTCTGTATCGCATCGTCCTTTCCCAGATATGTTGGGGGGGGGGCTTATTTTTTTATTTTGTGATTGCAATTTCCCATTAAATCTCCTTGGTTGCTTTTATTTTTTTTTATTCGCTTCAATCCTGGCACACAAATATCTAACAGTGCGTTCTCTTTCTATTTCTTCCTCATCTTTTCCTCGTCATTTATTTTACTTTATCCTTTTCATTGCATCTGCTTACGTCCATGATTTTTGGTCTTCTTTATTAACATCTTGGTGCAAACCTCATTTTGGTCATTGTGGCCTTTCACAGATTTGTATAAACTTCCTAATTCTTTTGGTGTCGTTGCATAATATGAATAATATTGCGGACGCGTATGCGTGTGTGTGTGTGTGTGTGTGTGTGTGTGTGTGTGTCTTTCTGTGTGTGTGTGTGTGTGTGTGTGTGTGTGTGTGTGTGTGTGTGTGTGTGGGTGTGAGAGAGTGTGAACATGTGTGTGTCAGTGTTTCTGTATATACATGTGTGTGTGTATGAGTGTGCTTCTTTGTGGATGTGTGTATGAGTGTGCGTGTGGGTGTGCGTGTATTTGTGTATGTGTTTGCATGTTTGCGCACTTCGCTGTCGCTGCTTCCGAGACAGAGGCATTCACAGACAGCAGCACAATTTTCGCCTTTACATCAATTTCATTTCTGTTATTCCTACTCATTAGCCGCACAAATCTCAGCGGGACACCTTCGTTCGTTAAAAATAGTTATGGTAAAACAGATGCCCATAAACAATGGATTCCCCTCAGACACACAGCTCCCAATAGCGAAGAGGTGAGACATCCTTGCCAGCTTGTTAAGTGAAGTAACTACGAAATAATATGATTCCTATACGAGAATTCGATTCTTTGCACTGGGCAGACCTGACCAAATTTAGTGAGATTCAATTAACAGGGAATGGCGAATGAAGCAGAAAGGATACAAAAAGAAGTGCAATATAAAGAAAAATTGAAGAGAGAACACGAAGTTATGGAGATTGAGGCAAGAGGATGGCTGGAATAATTTAATTAGGAATGGGGTCCGTGGGAAAAAATGGGAATAGGGAAGAGGGGTAAAGAAGAGAGGGGAGGAGATAACATGTTATTGAAGAAAGCCAGGGAATTTGGAAATCAAGGACACGATGATCGCGGGGGACGATGAGAAACCTGGCTCTGCTCAAAACGTGAGGCCATTCAGAACGGGTCGTCTTAAGGTAACATTACAATAACATTATAATTCTTTTGAAAATTCCAAGTGATTGATAAAGAATACTCTTTAGTTTGAACTTTCCTTGTAATAAACCATCATCTTCTTCATCATCATCCTCATCATCCTCATCATCATCAGCATCATCATCATCATCATCATCATCATCATCATCATCATCATCATCATCATCATCATCATCATCATCATCATAATCATCATCATCTTTATGCAGACTGCGCTAATTTGTTTTCTTCATTATTGTATCAAATGTTTAATGTTTATAGTTTCCATTTCTCTCTGTCCGTTTTTCTGATCCACTTTACTCAATTATATTTTGTGTTCACAACTTCTTTCGTTTGTTCCAATCTCAAGAAAGAAAAAAATACCTCCCTGAAGGGGTGTCGAACACCGTGCTCTTGTGTGACAGACAGAGATAACTACCACTATACCACTAATCTAAGTTTAAACTGAAAAGGGTGCACACAAAGACCGTATCTATAATAGAATTGTAACGTTTAAGAATTGTCTGTGGTCAAATTAAGAATGCAGGCTTTAGTAAAAGAAAAAAATGGGAGGAATTCCGTAACGAGCGACTACTATGAAACAGTAGAATAGAGGGTTAGGGTTAGGGTTAGTGATAGGTTTGGTGCAGGGGTAAGGGGAAGGGTAAGGGTAAGGGTGAGGGTAAGGGTAGAAGTAGGGTTAGGACTAGGCAAGTCTCTTCTCTATTATATTTGTTGGGGTGGTTGCTCCTTAAGTAAGTCATTCCAGGAAAAAGTACTGCTTCTCTAATATATCCGATTATCATAATTATTTTGTGATTATTACTGTTATCATTATCTAAGACCTACACATTGGCTGGATCAGCGTCAATGGTGTTGCAGTTAGACACTTCACCGTCGCACGGAGGAGACCTGAGTTCGATTTTCAAGTGGGGAAATGTTTAAATTAAGTATCGCCGTCTTTCTGTTAAATGTTGTATCCCTATCAGCCCGGGTTGGCCCTGAAGGACATAGATGAAGCCCATCTTTTAATTAAATGATCTAATATGTGTCGATGTGGGCGTAGAAATACTTACATTTTAAAAGAACATGCAGGTCAATCTTAAGACCTCTTTTGCCAAATCAAAAAATTGGTGTGAAAATTTGAATATTCAGCAGGTTATAATAGTAACATGGGAAAACTTTATCAGAAGAACTTTCTTTCTTTTTTTTTTCGAGGTTTGTTATTTCCTGTCGCAGCACCATTCAGTACGGGGCTCTCGTGGTCAAAAGGTTACGGTGTTCGCCTCACATTCAACAGCTCCCGGGTTCGAAACATGACAGCGACAGACATTTTTCTTCTCTAAAATGTTCTCCTTTCACCTCCTTTTCTTCTCTCTAACGATGCTCTGTCGTCTGCTTTCGTGTCCACTTTCAGCTCCGTTGACCCTTCCTCTGGGCGCCTGACTCTTCCTGCAGATTTTATACTGCTTTTCCATGGCTCCTTCTTACTACTGTCTTTCAGCCACACCATTGATTTTATGGTAGGTAAAATACAACACCTAGCCTTTTCGAATAAAGGCCAAAAACCTCGTAGGTCACGTATGCAAGTTACGAACGTTAAAGATCCCTTGGTGGTCCAAAATCGATGAGTAGTCTTCGGCCGCCACTCGGGCAAATTCAAAATTCATTCCTACCGAACTTAATTTGTTTAATGTATCCTGCGACCTTATGCAGTTGCGAAAGCTATAAAACAATTACCAAAACAAAAACAAACACCTTTCAGCTCTAGCTGTACTTGCTAGACATTTAATACAACAAAAGGTGCCCTTGGGCAGTGTTCAGGGTTCCTCCGGTAACCTTTTCCCACCCTTGTTCAGAGCAGCCTCATTCGTTTTAAAACATAATTTTCTTGGTTTACTTTGTTTTGAGTATTGCCACAAAAAGTTACCGTGCTTTTAAAATAATGATGTTTCTTGTACTTTCTTTGGATTTCTGTCCTTGCGCGGATGTCTGATTGATGGACTGGGAAAACCTGAGTAAAATAAAACCTTTACTAAAATTATCTTTACCTTGGTGAACTTGTGATATAATGTCATTTCTCACACGACTTTTTAAAGTCGTGTCTGTCTTTTTCTGGTCTTGCTTTTGATTTACGCGAGACAATACCTGTGTTTTTTTGTGTGTTTTTTTTAAACGTTTTTCAATAGCACTGGGGTGATAATTTCCGTTACTATGGGAAAGCTGATTCCTCCAAGAAGACCTGACAAGTGAATGTTTCATTGTATTGGGAAATTCTAGTCTGCGAGCAGCGCTAAATCGTGATCTGTTCATGCTGGAAAGTTGTGACTAAGCGCTACATGAGAATTACAAAGTTCTCTGTCCAGTAGGCTACCTAGTTTTGATAAATTTGACGTCAGAAATGTTGAGTTTCACAATATTTCAAGCTTTTTTCGAATGTAATTCTTCGACTATCTTGTTAACGACTCGGAATAATCTTACAATTTCGATGGAGCAGAAAGATCCTTTGATTCCTGACCTCATGGTCTTATAACTAACCCAAAACGGCCAGAAATGTCAGAACTTTGTAATTCTGAGGTAGCCTGGGGCGAATCATTCTTACTTGTCATTCTGTATTTCAACTACAATCCGTAAAGTTCCTTGAGTGTATCTTGCCTGTTGTTTTAGTAAGATTTTTAAAGCTATTGCAACACAATAAGGTCACAAAAGTGCGGAAGAATGAAGGTTATTCAAGAGAAGAACGAACACAAAAAGGACGAGAGATAATACGATATATTATGTTTGATAGGAAAGGAGGAGCAAACCATACCAGAGCACCCGCTAACCAACTACTGTATCTTGTCTGCACCCCAACATTTTGTAAACCCCCCAAAACTAATTATGCCATGATTCGGAAAGTCTACACAATTACTCCCCCCTCCCCCCCCCCCCCCAATTCCCCCCCCCCAAAAAAAAAACCCCAAACAAACGGACAAAAACTATCCTCTTCTACCGAGCTAACTCCATGCTCTCTTGCTCTTTACATTTCTCTATCTACGTGAATCAAATGATTACTCTTATTAAAACCGGTTGTTGTTTGTTGCTTTTTACGAACCGACATGTTAAATTTCTTAATAATGTTCTTGGGGGTTTCCAATAGTGGGTACTTCTGTTTCCCAGCCTGCCTCCCTACTTCCATCTACTGACACAAACAGCTGCTGCCCAAACCGACTTCTTAATGCCTGTCCCAAAACACACCTGCTTGGTCATTTCGCCTTAGGAGATTCTACTTTCCTTTTTTTTCTGGTCCTTTTCGCATTTATGAATAGCAGCATCACCTATATAGATTCAGAGTTTCATTAGTAAGAGAAAATAACTGCACTGACAAAATACAGAGTTGCTTTATTCGTGAGTTTATCTAAAAAGTATACTGGTTACCACAACTTATCAGACTCCTACTATAGTCTGTTTTTCAAAATTGATGATGATGATGATTTTTTAATTAATGCTGGATTAGAAATGTCTGTTCCCTCTCTCTTTTCCATACAAATGTTTTTATTATCACTACTATTTATTAAATTAACGATATGTTGACAACTGAATTAACTTTTCTAACCCGTCTCCCCCTTCCACCACCCCCTTCCACTCCGTTTTCCAACACCCACAGAAAGTCCTAGTTTATTGGACGCCCCATTTCCCCTGACCCGCCCCGACCCGCCCTCTTTCTTTTCAAATCATCAGAACCCAAACTGTCTATCAAATGGCGATTACGTTCAAGCGGAGACCAAACTGGCTCAAGAAGAGATTGAGTCGACACCCACGCTGCCCCAGACACGGATCGGTATTCTCAGCAACTAGCCACAGCAGCAGCAGCAGTAGCAGTAGAAGTAACAATACCAACGACAGAGCCAGTACCCAAACACGTATGGCCACAGACAGCAACAACAACAGCAACAACAGCGAGAGAGGGGTCATCAAAAACAGCTCAAGGAACGGAACTTCCGCAACGGAAAGCAAACACTGCGTATCCCACAAAACCTGCTCCTTCTGTCCGTCACAGAGCTTGAGAAATTTCGTCGTCTTTACTGCCAGCAAATACTTCGGATTTTTCTAGTTAGCTTCCCGGGTTACTGGATAGTCAGCAGACTCCTTACAGTGAAAGCTACTTGCTACAGGAACATACCATGTTACTGTTTTATCTTTCATGACACTTCTGTGCTTTACGAATGACAAAAAAGACATTTCTGAAGTTGATTTCTACACGTTTTTCGTTGAACGACGAACAAAAATAAACGTCCGTCAAGACAGTCATTGTCTGAACGTTCTCTCAGTATTTTCCATTGGTGATATTTGCTAAGTTCTGAAGTCTCTGGTAGACCAAGCTCTGCATCATGGCGTACACGGTGAACACAAACTTCACCACGCCCATCATCAACCTGGCCACGACATCTGGTGTACCCACCACTGTTTTCCCAGACAATGTCACCGGCGTGTCCACGGAAGTTCCCATCTCCAACCTGCGGAGCTTCCATGAAACCTACGGCTCCATTCACGGCATTGCAGCGCCCATCATCTGCATCCTGGGCATCATTGCTAACTGCCTGAATATCGTGGTACTCACATGCAAGAACATGATCTCTCCCACAAACGTTCTTTTAACCTGGCTCGCCATATCGGACGGTCTCACAATGACGGCTTACCTCCCTTACGTCATCCTCAACTACCACATCTACACAAAGGACGTCCCGTGCCCTCTGGCCAACGCTCGCTTCATCATGTTCTTCGCCATCTTCAGCGTGGTGGTTCACAGCATCTCTATCTGGCTGACGGTGTCCTTGGCTGTGTTTCGCTACGTCTTCATCCGTTACCCACGCCGTGGCGCCAAGCTGTGTAACATCTACCGCGCCAAGCTCACCGTGTTTATCGTGTGTGTTGTGGTCACCGTGGTGACCATTCCCAACTCGGTGAGCTACTCGTTTCACACGACTCTGACGGAGAAGAACGAGACGTCCTGGTATATCGACGTGCGTCAAGACACACCTGGCTACCAGTTCCTGAAGAACTTCAATCTGTGGATACAGGCGATCCTGGTGAAACTCCTGCCCTGCTTTCTGTTGGCGGTGCTCAGCATTCTGCTCATCAAGCAGATGAAGGACGCAGAACGCCGCCGTAAGAAGCTCATGAACAAAAGCAACGCCAAAGCAGACGACGACTCTCGGCGGCACAGAAAGACAAACAGGACGACCAGGATGCTCGTCGTCGTTGTCGTCCTTTTTGTTATCACCGAGACCCCTCAGGGCATCCTACAGCTGCTCGGGGGGATCATAGACGACTTTTTCACCAACGTCTACGGCCCGCTCGGAGATCTGATGGACACGCTAGCTTTGTTCAACAACGGCATCAACTTTGTGCTCTATTGCACCATGAGCAAGCATTTCAGGGATACGTTCATTAAGATATTTCTCAGCGATATTGTAAAAGCCACCAGAGCACAGAGCGACGGTCAGCTGATGACCGCTCGGACCACGAGGGTGTCCGAAGTTTGAGTTCTGAGCTGGTTACACGCAGGGGCACAGCTGAACCCAGCCTGCTCTGTGGAAACAGGTAGATTATTCTGTAACTTCAATGTATACAGAACGAAATAGTCAATTCTGGAGGCAGTCTCTCTTCACCCAGACGTGTTCTGCCTTTGGTACACTCAGAGACTACGCCTCTAGTGCTCATCATCATCACCTTGATAGATCTATAGTGTGCTGGGGGGCCTAGCGGTTGGCGCCTGGTGAGGACAGACGTCAACATCAACGGATGTGAACCTGATCGACCGTCATCACTTTGATTTGAAATAATGGCCCATGATTTAGCCTTTTTTAACGTCCCAGATGCCGCTACAGTTACTGGATTCCCTTAATACCGGCCATTAGCCACCCCAGCATGAGGACTATTTCCCATGATATTGATCAACTACACAGCAGTCCGACACTCTAACATCGTGGATACTTCAGAGTCTGGGCACTTGGAGGAGAAAAATGTACCCCAACATTTTCTCCCTTACGTGCACTAAACTCGCAAAATATCGTTGGTAAAGACTGTTCTATTTCTTTTGAACTCTCTACAGAGTTAAAAAGATAGTCCTGACAAGTAACTTGCTTGCATATTCAAATGAGAGACTTGGAATACAGATGGACAAAAAACGGTGGTGCCTTGTAGTGCATTAAGTACACGTCGAGATAACGTGCAAGACCCTGTCACGAGTGAGGTGCACACATTTCTCAAAGGATGCTGCCAAACGAAAAAACTCAAACGGTCTGTACTCTGGTGGTCACTGAGAAAAAGTTCATGACATTCGAGGCTGGTCGGTAAAAACTGCCTTCTAAGGATATCATCAAGAATCCGTTCCAATCGAGATTCCACGTGGAAATTATTGAGCCACATCTCGTACTGGAGAGACAGAGGCTGTGTTTTGACAAACTGAAAGGTGATTTTGTTCTTTCGTGAGCACTTCAAGTCATTGTACTTCCTCGTAGGTACTTGAACGCAGCCCATTTCTTGAACAAACTCAGACTGCTTTATCAACTTCATTCGTGAAGCCTTGTCAGGTACATTATGTTTCTCAACTTGCTAACCTGGCCTGCGATGAATTGACACAGATGACGAACCGTGAGCATTTCGTCCTGCTGGAGGTTCGACACAAACAACTCGAGTATCTTTCATTTAATTTATTCAACAAAAAGCTTGTTGGCGAGATTTGGGGAAACTTTTATATTAATAAATATAACTGTGCACTATCTCGACAGACAGTTGGAACTGGAAGATGGTCTCGGTGGACAATTTTGAAGTCTCTCTAAAGCTTCTGAATCGCTCGCTGTCTTCATGACCTCATATGATTATCGACAGCTATACGATTGTACAGAAGTTTACCAGGTTATGTATAAATCACAATAGCTAGCTATCTTTTCGAGCATGTGTAATTACCACTAATAACCATACAACAGTGTACCCGGTAATGCATAAGTCAGAACAGCTAGCTATATGTACAAGCATGAGTCGTGACTGTTATAATATGACCATGCGACAGTTTATCTGGATAGGCATAATAAGTCTCCATTACTAGCTATCTGTTCGAGAATGTGCAACAACAGCTATGTGTCCATGCAACAGTTTATATGGTTTTACGTACGTCACAATAGCTAGCTATCTGTTCAAGCAAGAGTCACGACAACTATGTGGCAATACAGGAGCCCCCAGATGTCTCAACGACTTCCAGATTGTTGAACCACGAAAGCTATTGATCTTGAGCCTGTTGGTACGTGTACGTACGCACTGATGCCATTAGATACCTTTCACAAAGCATGTTTGCCATAACTTGACGCCGTGTTCACGCTCTGTGCTCCTTATCCAAACGCCAGACAGGAAAGGTCAAATGTGAGGCAGCGTGGTGGAATCAGGCTCTCGTCAAAATAATGAGATCGAAGAAAACAGCAGTTTCCTCCCTGCTAAGCAATTTTTATCAAATTTTTGTTTTTAGGTTCAACAACTTTTATGTCCATTTACAAACATTCCTTTGAGGATTTCACTGAAAAACGTTTATTAAAGGCACAAAAATATAAATTTACAGTTTTTATGGACTCTCCAGCTTTGGAATTTATCAAGCTTTGACGGCCATTTTCTCGTTAATTTTACCTCTTAAACCAGGTGACCCCCACCTCTTTCAATCCAAAATATCTCCATGTCTATTGAAGATAGATGGATATTTTTTCACCCAAACAAAGGCAAATGAACAAGCTTTAAGACGATACCAATAACTCAATATGCCCAAACATTGACGAGAGCCTGATTCCATCACACTGCCTCACAAATAATATAATACTAGATCTTGAGGCAGTTACGTCACGTGTGTCAGACATGGGAGTGGAGGGGGTGGAGGGGGTGGAGGGGGTGGGGTTTATTGCCATCAACGGCATGGCCGGCACGCCCCGAATCTAAGTCCCCAGCCTGCTCCTCGCGAGCTCTTGTATATCAAATACCGCCCTGCTCCTGCATTTCAGTGCGAGCTTGTAGATTTTTCTCTTACTAAGACCGCCGAGAAGTCTCCACGTAAGTCTCGAAAAGTGCCCACCGTTTATTGCTCTTGCGTTCAACGCTCTGCATTCCAGAGTGGGCCTTGTTTGTTTACCTAGGTGGCGTCACTGCCACCAGCTCTGGTACTAAATAGAATCTCTTTGAGGCAGACAAACGAAGTTGTACCCCGTCAGAGAACCAATCATTTCAATTTTTTCTGGAAGGAACGTTGTCAAGAAAAACTGTTCTTCTTCAGGGGAGCACTTGGATGTACACTCGTGTACCTTACATTTAAAGCAATTTTGAGTTCACTGGCGTATGTGGTACAATAGTTCAGCGGTCAGCCGTCGCATGCAGGTGCAAGTACCATTCCCGTCTGGTGACTTTTTTTAACCGAGTATCATCTCTGTCTGTCTCAGCACGGGTTGGCCGTGACATGCAAAGTCGAAGCAGCCTGCCTCCTTTATGATCTAATTGACGTGTCGAAGAGGGGGGAACATATCTTCTGTTACATTGCTACTTTAGCGTAATTTGGAATTGTAAATTCAAACTCTCTCGCTAATATTATAGTTGTTGTTGGGGTATTGTAAAACAAAGTTACAACTGAGCTAAACATTTAACGTACACATTTTCCAGTGGTATACAAAATAAGTTTGAAATCGTAAGGCGAGCACCATAGGAAGGAATGTATATTTTACAAATAGTGAGAGAGAAATATGAATTTTAAAAATTAATTACACCCCCTCCCTTACACACACACACATACACACACACACACACACACACACACACACACACACACACACACACACACAGACAGCTAATACAATAAGTTAATAAAGAGCACCTTTAGCGCACACAGTCAGGGCGACCCAAATGTGGTCCTACGGAGAAAATAGCAGAGACCTCAAATGGCTACCTTAGAAATTCTATCTGACATTTCTGGCTGTTTTGAGTTACTAAGACCAGGAGATCAAAAAGCAAACGTTCTATTTACTCTGTCAAAATCGTAAGGTTATTCGGAGTCGTTGTCAAGATATTTTAAAATGTGCATTCAAAAAGGCTTGACATGATATGAAACTCAAAATTTTCTACTTCAAATTTCTCAAAACTAGGTACTGAGCAGATAAACCTTTGTAATTCTGGGGTAGCCAAATTTTCGTAGTTGGTCAAGTAAGTTGCAGAAAGTGGGTTTGAGTTTACTTTTGATTAAAAATTGTGAGCTTATTTCTCTATTTACTCATTTATTGAGTAACAGCGAAGAAGGAGTGACATACAGTGAACAACATTCTGTCTGCTGTCGGCCTTCGGTTCTATTTCGAGATAGAATTTTGATTGTAATAGCGCCAATCCCTCCGGTATATCGAAAGAGAAAAGTATGATTGACTTTCGCAAAGGTGCAGTGATAAAAGGATGTTTTTAGATAACGTCACTTTCAAGAAGTTGAAACGCTCATTTGGGTATCAGTGCATTGTCTCCAATTTGCACAGAGACTTTTCATATTTCTTTCAGCATCCCGATATAATCTGAGCAGGCGGTTAACACTGTGACTTCCCTCCATGGATGGAAGAGAGAGAGAGAGAAAGAGAGAGAAAGAGAGAGAGAGAGAGAGAGAGAGAGAGAGAGAGAGAGAGAGAGAAGAAGAAGAAATGAGATGGAAAGACAGACAGAGACAGAGACAGACAGACAAAGACTCCAACAAATAAAGAGACAGAGAGACAAAGAGAGACATAGAGACAGACAAACTAAGAACGATTCATTTTACTGATTTTTTTATTATATTGGCTTTATTGAGTTTTAAGGCGTTTGGCCAACATATAATGGAACTTGTACAATTTTAAAGAAAACACAGTTTGGAATGCAGCATCGTTTATTGAAAAGACAATCTTACGCATCGCGTATGTCCTAGGCTGCTTCTTTTGTTTTGGAATAACGTAACAGGGTATGGGCAACGCTAGTTTTATTTTTGTTTTGTTTTTTTCTTTCTTTTTTTGATTTTGGGTTTTTGTTGTTGTTTTGTTTTGTTGTTTGTTAGGGGTTGTTTTGTTGTTGGTGGTGGTGGTTGTTGGGGTTGTTTGTTTGTTGTTGTTTTTTGGGGGGAGGGGGGTGTTGTTGCTGATTTGTATTGTCTCGTTTTGTTTTGTTGTTGTTTTTATTTTTTTCAACTGAAGTACCTGGGAGGGGCTAACGGGCTACCGTCTCGCCAACAGTGCGGATGAGCCAGTAAACATGCTTATTTTGGTGAGTGTTTTACGGCGCTCGCAACTGTGTAAGGTCATAATATGAGGGCGCGGGGTACATTTGTTAAGAATGTTCAGTTTATTAGTAGAATTAATTTTATTTTTTGCCATTTTGCTCTGGTGGCGGCCGGAGCCTACTCTTATTGATTTTAGGACCACCGGGATATTTTCATCCTTATCCAAAAAGGCAAGGTTTTCGATTTTACGTACCCTAAGATCAGTGGCATGGCTTAAAGTCACGACGTAAGAAGGACATTGAATTGTAGCAGAAATAGTAAGGAGCCAGGAGAAAAGGGGAGGGAGGGGAGGGGGGACAGAAAGTGGAGATGTAAAGAAGATGATAGAGCATGATTCTAGAAAGCAATAATCCTGAAATTTTAGATTGATCCATACCAGCATTTTGTTACAGGACTGACCCAAGCGTACACAGTGGGGGTCTGAATGACCCCAAATAAATAATTCAGTTTTTCTATGATTTCTGTTAAAGAAGGTTATGGTTACGGCTAGAGACAAGTTTTGTTTGGTTTGGTTTTTTTGTAAGTGTTTTACGGCGCTCGTATTAAGTCATAATTATGAGCGTGCAAGAGACAAGTTTATGCTGACGTTTAGGGACATTGTTATTGTTAGGGTTAGATTTAGGATAAGGGTTTCAGATTTAGAAAATTCAGAGTTGTACTGGATATTCACCACGATGCCACACAATTTGTCTAATCTCGACAAGGACAGAGATCTAACCTACTTCACATTCACGGTCCTTGTAGATCATACACTTGCATTATTAAGATATATATGCAAGACTATGCTGTCAGGCGTAATCCCAGGTCATCATGAAGCACGCTGTACAGAAAAGTGAGAAGACAGGGAATAACATCAAGATGCTAGTCCAGGATAGAGAAAGGTGGAAAGCGTTTCTTCGTGGCATATACCCTGATTCAGGGAGAGAAAAGCAAGGATGCTGATAATGATGATGGAGCACACAATTTTACTCTCTTTCGGAACCAGATTGAGGGCAGTTGAAAAATGTTGCGGGCGCACGAGTGAGACTGGTGTTTTGCCCGTCATGTAATCGACCATGGTGCGCTCCAGCGCAGCAATGTTTCTATAAAGAGCAAAGAGCGAAAACCTTAACATACCAATACCAGTGCCAAACACAGTCCTTAAATAAAGATCAAACAGACTATCAATGTGTGCGAAATGGAGTATCTCCGCAAAGCAATTAATGTCACTAGAAGAGACCGCACAGGGAACGAGACCATACGCTTACAAAACGGGAATACCATTACTTATGAATTTCATTGAGCGTCAAAGAGTCAAATAGTTGGGACCTCTGACCAAAATGCCCCAAAAACAACAATAGACTAGAGCTTACCACACCCGTGAATCTTGCTTCAAATCTACAGGAAGACCAGGAAGGACCTGGCTGGAGGGATGGGGTCCTGGAACACTATGCCATAATATCTATCACAGACGCCACACACTTAGCACAGGACCAAAACCTGCACCTCCCCTCGATACCAGAGGAAGGATAAAGTAAAACTAAGTAAGAAAAGAGCGGCGGCCACGACGGGGCAAGGTCTAGAGTACTATAATGATTAATAATTATGATGCGCGTTCACTTCAAAGACGTTGGCTATGTTACATTAACCTTGCCATATATAGATCACCTACACCCGTTTCAATTAATGTGTTAAATCGGATGTTAAACTCTGTCATACCAAACCAATCATACTGACTATTGCAGCCGATTTCATTGTTGACTGTGTATGTCGTTGTGGCTCTTTGTTCTTTTGGGCGCTTTACACAAGGGCAGAATCAGCACGTTTTTCAACAGTGGTTTAGGCGGCTGAAAAGAAAGTAACTTGGTCACTGGTTGGGGGAAAGGGGGGGGAGG